AGAGTGAGCTTCAGAGGAGCTATCTGGTCCAGGTGAATTTTTCAGGAATTCATCAGGACTCTGGAATGGTGGTTTTAAGGCTGGATTTTTGGAACTTTAAGAGCTGTTAATATGCACCTGGGGTACATTTGTGTGCAAGGGTGTCTACAGGTATAGCTGGTTTTTCAGCTAAATTTTTATGGAGCTGGTTATAAGCTTTTTTCTAAACTTTTCTAGAACTTTGTGGCCTATATGCTGTATGTAATTTTTATTTAATCTAGTTTTTGAGTTACCTTTGCTGTAAATTCAGGCCCATTGTCAATGCCAATGGTTAGGGTAGGTCATATTTAGGGATGACTCTTTTTTTTTTTTTTTACAGCCAGACCCTATAAACTTTTATTGTCTTTTTTGTGTGGGTGGGGAGTGTGTTGGGCCAGCCTGAGTAGGTGCAGATGAGCACTAAGCCTATCTGTATATCTTTAAATGAGGGGAGGTCAGGGCCAGTGACACTGACGCTGAAGCCTGAGCTGGCTGCAGGGATACACAAGCCAGTGCTGTGGCTTGAGCTTGAGGAACATATGGTGGGGGCAGGTCTGGTTCTGAATAAAAGTTTTTGCTGGCTGGGATTGATGTTTCAGTCAGTCAGATTCCCAGAGAATGCTTAGGCCTCTGGACTGGATTATTTTGAGCTGAGGTTTGGCATTCTTTGTGACAAGTTTCCAAACAGCAGCAGGAAGCAGTAGCAGAAGAACTTTGGCCAAAGTAACTTTGTGCAAGGTGAGTGTAGCATATCTCACCCGTTGGACTTTATTTCTAACAGAGCTACTTCCATCCATAAGCAGGGTGTACTCAGCATCTATCAGGCGGCTTACTTTTAAATCTGGTTGGCTTGAGAACAATTTATTAGTCAATGCCAGGCAGTCATGGTCTGGTGGGTCCAGCTTAGTGGGCAGGTGAATGGCAGGATTGTGCCACAAGAGTCAGGCAAGGACTTTTTGTGTAAAAGTAGTCCAGTACAGCTTGTGGCATCTGGATAGTTAGGTTTTGGCCTAAGGTGAGATTTTCAGGTGTTTTTTCTTATCAGAAGGACAGTGGTTTTTAGAGCTTGGAGGCAGAGTGGGGAGCAGCCCTTAGTGACTGGATCCTAGTCTTTGCACAGGTGGGCCACTGGGTACTCCCGGGAGCTGACAGTCTGAGTAAGCATCATTAAAGTCTCACATCATATGTAAATTTATGACTTTTTTAAAGATACCTTGTAGCCAGTTTCTGCCAGATATTGCAGCAGAGCTTTTGTGTCTTTCTAGCAGGCAGCTTGAGTGTCATTACTTTGAAGGGCAAGAATATTCTGTGCTGAGAAACTAGTGAGGTCAGCTGTAAGGGCTTTTTCAAAAGAGGATAAGCAAGTTTTTGAACCTCTTGGAGGTTGAGTCAAGGTCAGTTAACCTTTGAGTTCAGATTTTTTTTTTTTAATTTAAAGGCAAAGAGGGATTGGCTGATAAGAGCCAATTGAAAGCAGAAGAAGGAATTTTTTTAGGTCCAGGCAGGTGTACCAGCAGGCTGTGAGTGGCAGAAGACTGAGGCAATGTATGTGGAGGGCAATTGCAGTGGCATTGGTAGTTTCAAATCTTGAACTGGCTTTACAGGACAGAGAAACCTTTTGCAGTTGTGAAGTCTCATTTTTGGGTGAGTGGGGGGACTGTGACAGTGGTGGAATGGACAGAGAAAAAGGCTGTCTCAGATAAAAGTGCTGGTGGCTTGGCCAAATCTGTCATTAAAGCTTCCCCAAAATAGCGGGAGAGTTCTTAACCCCTGTGGCAATTAAGTCCAAATGAGTTGTCTTTTCTCATGGTTTTCCCAGCTGAAAGAGCTTATGGGAGCAACTTGCAAGCAAAATGAGGCATCTTTTAAATCTAGACATGTAAACCAGATGGCATCTGGAGGTAATCAAGATTTTGAACTGCTTCAGGTGTCTGAGATGTGGCTGGATGCCTGTGTGCTTCCCATGACATAACATACTGTCAATAGAGGTTGCAGAGTTTAATCACTATGGGAGCATGGCTGGTGGTCTGGCCCAAAGGTGAATCTTTGGCTCATAACTCTAGGAGGAGAGTTTTTAGAATTTCAGGATTGTAGTTATCTGTCTCAGACTGAAGCAGGCATCATATTCCTCTCAGGGAAAGTGCAGGGTTTAATGAGAGGGAACCTATTGGCTTGGTGAGAGGAATTCATGTTTGGTGAGAAGTTCTCCCAGGCTGTAAGTTTGTGCCTGGCAGAAGAGGCAAGAGGCAAGAGTCCCAGTTGCCCAGTGATGGTAACCTTTTTCTGACAGAGTGGATTTTTGCTTTTTGTTTCCCTTCTTTGATGTCTTTGAGAAGCATTTGACTGATTTTATGTTTCTAGGTGGGGCAACCTTTGGGAAAAGCCATGGCAACTCATTCATCAGGCCTGACAGTCAATTATTTCTCAGTTAAAATGTGGAACTTAGAAGGAGTGCCTGGCAGTCATCTCAGCTGGGTGTTAGATGACTTGACCAGGATAGGAAGCAGAAGGCTCTGGAGGCAGGGCCTCTGTGGCCAAATTCAGGTAATGGCTAACTGGAACCAGTTCAGTTTGTTAGAAGTAGAGGAGTCGGGAGTGGGGAGTGAAGCTATAGGTGTTGACAACAACTTCAGTGGCTGACAAATGTGCCAAGGTGAAGTTCTCAGGAAGAATGGGCCTTTTATTTTACTTTTTTTCTTTGAGCAGTTTGGTTTTATTTTTAACTCCATAATCTCAGAAAAGTCATTTTTCTTGCAGTCAGGGACTAGGTTTTGACTAACTAGTTCCCATCTCTGACTACTTACTTGTGTGTTGTATATCCTTGAACAACAGAGCAACAAAGGGTGGGTGCCCCTCAGAGAGAGGCCATTCAGTTGCCTGCCTGGCCATGCCCCTCATGGGGACTTAGGCACAACTTAGCTCAGGAGGGTGTGAGGCTTCTGTTATGCCATATGTTGACCACCATGAAACCACAGGGTAAGGCCCAATCAGCCACCATGATCAGAGCTTTCCAGTCTTGGTGCATGGACAGAACAGCCTGTTACTTACACTGTCTGTTTCACTTATTTACACATTCACTTAACAGGCTTTTAGAGGTTAAAATATTTCAACCCCTTCCCTTAGTGGTCATCCTAAAGAGAGGTGATCAATCTTTTCTTCTGCTTGAGTGCAGCAGGACTGACAGACAGACTAACTGGGGTGCACCTGGGGCTCCTGCCTTATCTGATGATCAAACCATACTTTGTCCTCCTCCCTTTTGATTACCATGTAATCAAAATGTAATGGGCTTCTTAGCAGGGAGCTAAGAATCCTCCAGATCTCTGAGGAGACTTGAGAAATCTTGAGGTCATATGTCCCCATTAGGACTTGGAGAGGTCCCTGCTCCATCTTTGAGGGCCATGACTAGTGACCAAAGGTATCAGCATGGTCGGTCTTCCCGGCCAACACACCACATGCAACAGCAAGCAGAAACACTGAAACAACACCTAAGATTTGGAGGCAGATTTATTTTATATCAGCAGGCACTGACAAGGAAAAAATTCTTATAAAATATCAGGCACGAAAGGCTTAGGGAGCGAGGTTTTTATGGGGTTACAAGCAAGAAACAGAGTACTTGGCTGTCTTTGATTAATTCTTACAATATGCATCACAGTGACCAGCTGTCTCTATGAGACAGTAGTAACACTAACTGTAACAGGAACTATTACCTGGACAACTAACAGACCACCTGGAGGGGCATTTTCTGCTACAATTCAGCTCACTTCATCTCATTATGTAAGAATGTGTCATCTCATATCACTACAAAATGAGATTTTTTGAGGGAAACTACATTTATGTATTATTACAGTATATTTTATAATTGTTCTATTGTTAATTATTATTAATTTCTATTATAGTTAGCTGATGTGTCAACTTGAGTAAGAAATGTCCAACTAAGTTGGACAGCATAGTTCTGGGTGTGGCTGTGGGGATTTATTATTTGCTGGGATATACTGGACATGAATGACAGGAACCAGTGGCAACCAGGCTTGCCACCTGAGTGGTATAAAAGGGAAGTGAATATGAGACACCTGCAATGAGCCCCAATCTCCTGCCAGGTGTATGGTACATGGTGAAAGAGGAAGAAAGGAAGAAAGAAAGAAAGGGGCAAAATGGTGGTGCAGTGGGGATCCTTGATGACCAGTTGTCCATGAGGAGCAAAAGGCCAACAGGCAGTCAGACCCTTGGCACTTCTTGACTGAGGAGGGGATTATCAGATAACTCAGAGGGCAGTGATGATATTAAGTTAGTGAGGATCTTGCCCTGGAATATTTTTAGCCTTAGTCTTAGTCTTAGTACATGGGAGAGGATGACCCACCCCTAATGAGATAATGGGAAATCTCCAAAGGGTGATACCCATAATCCCGAGCCTCTGTTCATCCCTTAGGGAAGTATGTAAAACTGGCCATTGTGAATTTGTGGTTCCTAAGAAGCAAGGAAGAAAGACCCTCTTCTGTTTCTTGGAAAGAGCTCCAGTCTTCTCTCTCACCTTGGACACTGCTTCCTGGCTTCCAGTGCAGACTCTGCAGCCTCCAGCACAGACCCTTTGGCTTCCTGATACAGATTCACACAAGACACTGCACTGAGCTTCAGGCTCTTGATTAGGGCTTTTGATGTCCAACACACAGACAGCCATTTTGCACTCTTCCACACCTGACCCCATGGGTGGCCATTGTAAGCCAATTTTGTAAATTCATATATTTATATGTCTTGCATTACATCCGTTTCTCTAGTATGCACTGGCCGATACTGCAATGGCAAGCAGAAACATCAAAACAACACCCAGGATTTGGGGGCAGCTTTATTTACCTTGATGGGATCATTCCCAGAATATCAGGCCCTGATCTCTGGTGCTTCAGGGCTTTTACATGATGCACAAGTAGGAGGTATAAAGGTGAGACAGAACAGCCTGGCAGTTCTTTAGATTAGCTAGCAGGGTGAGATCATCAGTTACAAGGGCAGATCATCAGTTCATGAAGCTTGGTACAATGGTACAATCAGGTATTTTGCATGTTCGGTTAAGCTCTTGTTGTCATAGGGGTCAAGAAAGTAATTACAAAGCCATGAAGCAGTTACAGAGCTGGGTAGCTTCAAAAGAACAAAGCTTTTAAAAGAACAATTTCTCTTGTATAGTTTTTCCCTTTCAATACAGGTAAAAGGCTTGAAATGGCTCAACTCATTTTTTTTTTCTTTTGAGCATTAGAAAAACCATCCTGTGAATGAAATCATTTAGGCAGGAAGGAATAGAGTCCAGATCAAGCTGTACCTGAAGCCTAAGTGACTTCTCAGGTATTTCAGCCAATTCATGTCCTTTGTTTTAGCCAGTCCAGTTGGGTTTCCTCTTGTTGGGGGACTGTAAACTTTTTGCCTTTAGTACATGCTTGCCAGCATTCAACTGATTTTTTACTCCCATGTTCTTTCTCCTCTGTTTCTGAGATTGACTATTCATTAAAATTGATTTATTTATTTTCCTTATTTGTGTTCTTATTTTGTTAAACTTTTATACTGTTTTGATTTTAATTGATCAATTCCTCTCGTGGACTCTTCTCATATTTTTGTCAAATCACTGAAGAGGAATCAAAGAGGTAGTTATACTGCTAGGTAAGTAAGTGATTTTGGAAAAATTCTCTGATCTTTGTTTTCTTCAGCTAAATGGAGGGAAAAGATATTCCCTCAAGGTTTTCATGGAGATGAAAAGACAGGATAGCACCAGTATTTAAGAAATCATGATGTGTCATGACAATGACACGTAAATAATCAACATATACAATGGTTCCCCATGGATTCCCACCTGACAAAATTCATCTATCCATTCATTCATTTATCACATACTCAGTTTTTGTTATTTGTACAGAAAACATTTTCACTGAGTGGTTCCAAAAATGTATGAAAAGCAACCACACCACTCAGTTACTGAAAATATAATGAGTCATCTCTAACTTCAAGCCAGTTGCTCCTTTCTTTTCTCCTTTTTCAGTTCCTGCTTTACTGCTTGGATTTCATCATTTGAAGTCAAACCTCATAAATTTTTGTTGCTTTTATTCCCAAGATTTTCTGTTTACTATGCCATTTTCTATAAAAATCTCTGAAAATTGTTTCTTTAATTCTTAATTTCTGGACCTTATAAATCTCAATATGGGATAAAAAATACACTTTTCTTCTTTCTCATCATACATTCCTGTTGGTTCCCAAAGTAGACACTATCTCAGTCATAATGAGTTTATGTTCCAAGAGGAGAAGTTTCCTTTAAATGGAAATTTTATCAAGAAGAAATTGAATACTCAGCTATAAAATATGAGGCAGGTTTTTCTATTGGACTTGACAGGAAGTAGAAGTGGCATATAAACATCCTGAGATTTCTCAGTGGGAAGGAGTTGGATGAATTGTCAGCATTATGAGGCAAACCATGAAAGTGGGTAGGAAGACAATAATTAAGCAGCTTCTTGTGTGAAGACATGTCAGGAACAGGTCATTGTGCCTCAGTCTACCTCATATCATCTCCTGATGCTTTGATTTAAAAGTGACCCGGTCAAGTTGAAAGATTATATTTTTAAAATATTAAATTCTATTGAATAGTAAATATATGTTATTATTTGATGTTTTTCTAATTTATTAATTCATTAGGCTTCAATTTGCCGTAAATTTTTATTGGTGCACAGACATTTCTCTAAAGGAAATACACAATTGTGGGCACTTGGAGCCACGGGTGGGGTGCGCTGCTCTTCCAACCAGCTCGTTTCCTGGCTCGTAGGCACCTGGAAGGAGGGGCCCAGGTGCAGGGGGAGCCACGGGTGGGGGGCGCCAGTCTTTGGACTGGGCCGCTTCCTGCCTTGTAGGCGCCTGGAAGGAGGGCCTCTGGCACACGGGAAGCCATGGGGGGAGAGCGCCGGTCTTCTGGCCGGCTCGCTTCTTGCCTTGTAGGCACCCGGAAGGAGGGTCCCAGGGGCACGGAGAGCCACAGGAGAGGAGCATCAGTCTTCCAACCAGCTCACTCCCTGCCTCATAGACATCCGGAAGGAGGGCCTCCGGTGCATGGGGAGCTATGGGCAGGGAGCACCGGTCTTCAGACTGGCATGCTTCCTGCCTCATAGGCACCCAGAACGAGGGCCTCTGGCACACAGGGAGCCACGGGCGGGGAGCCCTGCTCTTCAGACTGGTCCGCTTCCTGTCTCATAGGTTCCTGGAAGGCGGGCCTCTAGCGCATGGGGACCCACGGGTGGGGAGCACCGGTCTTCCAGCTGGCTCCCTTCTTGCCTCATAGGAGCCCAGGAGGAGGGCCTCCGGCACACAGGGAGCCACAGTCAGGGAGCCCCGCTCTTTGGACTGGCCCACTCCCTGCCTCGTAGGTGCCCGGAAGGAGGGGCCCAGGTGCACAGGGAGCCACAGGTGGGGAGTGCCGGTCTTCCGACCAGCCTGCTCCCTGCCTTGTAGGTGCCCGGAAGGAGGGCCTCCGGCTCGCGGGGAGCCATGGGCAGGGAGCGCCAGTCTTTGGACTGGCCCACTTCCTGTCTCGTAGGCACCCAGAAGGAGGGGCCCAGGCACACAGGGAGCCACAGGTGGGGAGCACCAGTCTTCTGACCGGCTCCCTCACTGCCTCATAGGCACCTGGAAGGAGGGCCCCCAGCAGACAGGGAGCCACATGGCAGCTAGTGCTATTGCACACCGGCCCTCAGGCTGGCCACCACCGCTCAACTGAGAACTACCATGACACAGAGAAACAATGACACAATTGGCCCACTGTGCACTGGCTGCAGAGGCCCACCCATGGATGTGTGTGAATCAATCAAACATGGAGAAACCCCTGGGAATACATGCTGTGCAACGGGTCACTCTTGCTCCTGCCATTGAGAACCAGAAAGGTCCAGAGTCAGCGGAGGAGCAGCTGCTGAACAAGGACTCAGAGAACATGAGGTGCCCGAGGAATCAGAGGTCCTGTGAACTGGGGTCATGAGAGCTGCTCGGAAGCTGTA